GTTTAAAGGTAAGGATTGCTCAATGATATTTAATAAACTGGAAATTTAGAGCTGACAAGTACGGAAGATACGGAAGAGGATAAGGGACATTGGAAAAGAAAAAAAGTGGGCACGTCTTCTTCTTTTTTTTCTTTTGACGAATTCTGAGGAAATAAAGTAAGAATTCTGAGATTAAAGTCAAAATTCTAAGAAAAAAAGTCAGAATTACGACTTTTTTCTCAGAATTCTGAGATTAAGGTCAGAACTTTGACGTTTTTCTCAGAATTTTGACTTGTGATTCTCAGGTGTCATTCTTTTCCCCACGCTGAGCCACTACAGCCAAATTCCACTTTAACCCCTTTACCAACTGGCCACCTAGCTGTAATAATAATAATAATAATAATAATGATGATGATGATGATGATGATGATGATGATTTCAACTTCTGTAACAACAGAATTCCTAAATTATGCAGTAAATTATTTATTTAAATTATTATTATTTGTTATTTTGCTTCACACCTGAAAGCTCAAGACTAAGAGGAAACACTGTGGTGCTGATGAATAATCTTATGTCATGGAGGGCATTCAGAGTAAAAATCTTTGTTAAACTACACATGCAGATCCATCTGCTGTGGTGACCTCTTGCAAGAAACTAGAATAAGTTTCTATTTTGCTTTGTTTTTTTCTATTTAATTGAGCTCTTTGGGGGATTTTTTATGTAATTAAGCTATACTGTTTTTCTACCCAGTTAAAGCTACTTTTTAATAACTATGTTGTTTTGATGAGTCAAAACTAGAATTTTCCATCCCAACCTTTGCCTTAAATAAAGCCTTTCTTATCCTATCTTTAAAAAACATATCCCCTGGAGGGCTTACAAGTTTTTGTGAGATATATGAGATTATTTACTCTGCTATAATTGTCTTGCTGGTGTATAAACAAAGGCCTTGTACACAAAAAAGTTTTTTAATGACTCGTATATCTGCAAACTAGAATTACTGTGGATAAAACTGTAAATTTGAGGGCATTAATAATATTTTTCATTTCCTCTGTAAATTAATAGTTAAATGATGAAACCAACAATATTTATAGCTACACAAAACAGTGCAATAACCATCCAGGTTTTTTTCTCTTTGTTCCTTTGAACATTATTATGATCATGGGAGAAATATGGTTTGTAAACAGACATAAACCCATAGACCACCACTATATGCTGACAATCAACAGTGATAAACAATAATCAGACACATAAAAAGCACGTGAATATACAGCATAGACAAAAACACACAGACACATAAAATAAAAGGCAGCAAATCGAGACAAAAATAGAAACGCTACTTAATGCTACTTTCGTTTTAAAACCAGCAGCAAACTTGCTGTAAAGTGCAGGTGTTGTGGTCTCCATTATGTTAGAGATTCAGTCTTTCAGGAATAAATGGAATCGAATGCACTTTGTCTTTATGTTTGGGAGAAGGTGTGTGCATGTGTGTGTGTGTGTGTGTGTGTG